CCGGTGCTGTGAGGAAGGGGGGCCCTGGTGCCCGCGGTGTGGGCGCTGCGGGTGGGGGACGCTGAGGTGCAGAGGGCCTGGGGCCGCCCGTCCGGCGGGGGGACACAAGGTCTAGGCCTTGTCTTGGGGCCCTGGCAGAGATTTTGGCGCAGGAGCGGAAGAAGTGCTTAGAAACATTGATGGTCAGAGGGACCGGGCAGAAAGACGTCGTGCAAAGAGTATCAACTCGGTAAATGTGTGGCAAAACCCACCGACGTCTATTGCCACGAGCACTAAGCAGCCTTGGTTCACTAAACAGTGTTGAAATGGGGCTGGGGGAGGCTGTCAGGGCATCGCAGGCCATGGGGGCGTTGGGCAATATAGCTCTGTGTGCTGCAGGGCCAGGGAAGTTCTGGTGGACTTTGAGGTGAAAGCATCATGGATCATCCCACCACACAATGGAGGAGAAATCCAGTGAGGTCTGGGGTGGAAAGGGAAATGCTTTGTTCGCTAGGGGAAAAGAGATGTTGCTATTGTGTTATATAGGAGAGAGAGGGGGCCAGGGGTCGATAGCGGTGTGAGGCTGGGTGTAATATCATTGGGACTGTTCAGTGCGGTGACACTTCCTGGGAGGACACTAGCCCTGCAGGACACATGCAGATTGATGCCAAGCACAGAGGGGACATTGGTGCTTCTGGACCCTGGGGAACATTGGTAGCATGGATGCAGCGAGGGGTACTCAGGTATTATTGGAGAGGGGAGATCACTGGCTCTGCTGATGCTCTGGAGACCTACCAGGGCTGGGCAGCTGAGTGCTGCTGGGGGGGTAAAGGGAATGGGTCCAGGATTTAAAGAAGCACAGCATGAGCATTGGTGGGGGCAGTGCTATGGGGGAGCACAAGGGATTTTGACTGGGGAGGTGCCTGGGCAGGTCTAGGTCCCTGGGACTCTAGGGTGGTGCGTGGAAGTGCTGGTGCCTCGGGGGCATCGTGGAGCAGAGAGGAACGCAGAGCTAGTGATCACTGCCTGGCCTTGGGCGATCGTCGGGGTGCTCGGGCTGGTGTTGGGTGCCGCAGTGTGCATGACAGCGTGGGTAATACAACCTGGGAGGTATAAGGGACTGATCTCCTGGGATGAAGGTGCACAAGGGGGTGATGCTGGAGAGAGGCCGAAATATCAGTGCCACAATGTCCAGGGAATCCCAGGCTGTGGGAGCAGGGGCAACCCTCTTGGTATGGGTGCTGCAGGCATTTGGGTTTATCAGCGCTGTGCTGATGCCGTGCTCTGGGGTTTATTGATGCTGTAGCATTGGTGCCACAGAAATCCTCGAAGCTGGCTGGGCAGGCATCTGTGCCAGGCTCAGAGTGCCTTCCACGGGACCGGGGATATCCGTGAGAAGACTGATGTGATAGGGAGGAGTGCTGGCAATATCAGGCAGCTGGAGCAGAAGTGTTAACTGAGGACAGGGCATCACTGTGCAAGGATGTAGGTAGCAAACGTGGAAGGCCTGGATGGTATCAGTGCTTTGCAGCTCATGGGTTGGGCAAGGGGAAAGGAAAGGGGGCCTCCTTGTTGTTGTAAAACATTGCACATGTGCACTTAGCTTGCTGCCCTTCTCTTCTTGCCATCTTTCTAGGCATCTCCGTACATAAAAGTACCTGTTTCACATTATCTTTTCCCTCCAGAGCTATCCTCTTGAATTTTTGTGTTGAATGCCCTATACTTTGGCCTGTATTCCAGGCCACCTTTCTACTACTACTGTTGTTTACAGCATTTCTTCTATGACCTTAACCACTGTTGATATAAAAATTTACAGTAAAACTTACTTTGTGGTGTGAGCTTTAGCTTCTTTCCATTAAATTCTGTTTATTTGCAGCTGAACGCCTCGAGTGTTCCATTGTCATCACATGCATTAATGTGATTAGACTGTTTCTCTGCAAAATGCTTTCTTAAACCTCTGAGTGCACCAGGCTCTGTTGAACCACAAAGGCTTGCTGCTATAGAGATGTGGTCAAAAACATTTAAAAAGTGGGTCTGCTTCTGAAGGACTTGTTTTGAGTATGGTTTACACAAACCTCTGGAATGGCATTCCAGAGGGTTAAGCACAGATTAACTCAGCTAAAGGAAATTATTGAAATGCCCTTAATATGGTATGATCATTACCTTTTGTTAATCTTAGATGCAGGAGTTTTTTTAAACTACGGGCTTGACCCAACTTGTACTGAAATCAGTGAAAGTATTTCCATTGGCTTCAGTGGGATTTCCATCAGTCTTGGAACTGTCTTGCTGTTAGACTATGCCATTCATGTTTGTCGCCTTATGAAATTAATGTGTGCCTTCTTGATACATCTCAAAAAAGCATGTATACCAGTCTAGATTGGCACACTGAAGCATCGTTCCTCGTGCTGTATTTGGGCTTTCCCTTAGTCCTCTCTAGTACCTTCCACGTCATCTGAGTTGTTAATGAAATTATTGGTTAGAGCCTGACCCTGCACGAACAGCTTGGATCCCTACTCAATATATCCATTCATTCCCCTTTCTCTTTTTAGCATTTGCCCTCTTCTGGACTCGCCTGCTCTCCACATGTGTAAGATAACTGCTCTGAAACAGCTACAGATGTCTACGCATCCTTATGTGAAGCTACCCAGACAACCAGCTTGAAAACACTGTATATACTCACAAAACTTATTCTTTCCCCAGTCTTTTCCCCAAACCTCTTTTTCACTGGCATTTGTTATACCTACCACCCACTTCCAGACTATTTGTTTCTCATAAGAGATGGATATTGGATGCTTTTATAGTGTCAATAGCTTTCCTTCCCTGCATAGTGAACCATTTTCCTTGTATATATGTAAAGCTTGTTAACCTCATCTCACGTCTCTTGCTGGTTGGCTGTGTTCAGATCAGCTGAGCTTGATGAATTTTATCCTAGGATACGTGAAGAACCAGCTGGAGCAATCTCTGGAATGTTATTTTGGGCAAGCAGTCCAAAGATAACGACTATTGCAGAAGAGAAGTGGGGCCCTAGCGAAAGAGCTTGACAACCACTGGTCTGTACAGTACACTGCCATTTTTTAGTGCATAAAGCTGCTGCAGCCCCATCAGTATGCACAAATTAACGCTCTGATCAGCATTACCCTCAACTTTTGGAGAAGCAGCATTCACTTTTAATCCTGCCAGAGATGGAGGGGATTGGTGTAAAGACAAGAAGGGCAGGTTTCGCCTTTGGGAACAGACAACTGTTGTCAGTAAACCAAGTCTCGTCTTAGAAGGCCCGTGAATAACTTGCAATCCAATTTTTAAGCTGGCTGTGTATTATAGGTAAGATACTCCTAGATTCTTTAACTCTGCTGGCTCCTCTGATGCATCCCATGAAATTCAGGATCTTCTAATAAATAAGCATACTACATCCCAGCATATACAGCATGCCTTTGAGGAACTCAAATAAAACATGCTCTAAAGTGACACTGCACAGTCCCGGCTTCACCAAAGAATTTGTCCTGTAAACATAGGCCGCCGAGGCTGGACTTGGGGCTGCTGCCAGATTGCACCCTGCCTCCCTCCCCTCCTGGTGATTTTGAGTGTAGCTGGCAGGGATGAAGCACAGGGTGGACAGTTGTGTGCCTCTGCTAGGACAGGGATAGCGCGTTGAGGGATAGCAGGCTGGCGTGCTGCGTAGGCAGTTAAAATCTTTGGCTGTGCTCACCTCCTTATCTGATGCTACCTGCCTTTGCAGCCCTGTTTACACATTGTGCTTCTCATATCAAGTGCAGTTCAGGCAAATGCAGCTTTACGGTGTGTACTGCTGGGAACGTGACTTCTGCCAGGTGTGCTGCGAGCCGTGTTTTTGACACGTAAGGAGCGTAAGAGGGTCCAGAGGCACTACTGCCCCTTTGGGCTATGAGCTGTTAACAAGCTGGCACATAGAGGTGCTTTGGGAGGGCAGCTGTCTCAGCACTAGGCAAGCAGGGCCTGCGTAGGGGAGGCAAACTGGAACAGCAGTCCAGGCTTGGGAGTGTGCTGCAGTGACAACTGATGATTTTGTGACTAATGTAGAAGGTTGTCCCTGAAAAACAGGGCACGGTTGCCTGAACCTGTTTTTTTGCAGTGGAGCTGTTTCTCCAGCTTGCAATGTTGCTTTTCCGTGCGTTGAAAAGGGCAGGGGCATTGCAGGGGGGGGAAAAAAAAGAAAAAAAACAAGCAAACAAAAAAAACCCCAACCCACTAAGCGATCCCATAGTCATGCACTTACCCAAATGCATCTAATAACTTGCACAAGAAGCCTCTAACATTTGCTAACTTTGGAATGTGAGGCTTTGAAACCTCTGCAGATCTTTTAGCTTTTAGTGGTGTCTCCGTGGGAAGTTGGAATTGCTATCTGCATGCAGTAAGTTATTTAAGAATCTCCAGCAAAAAGAAAGAAAGAACTCAGACTCTTATAATGAACTTATTTTCTACCACTGGAACCATATTACATTACCAAATGCGGAGAGAAAGGTATAACAGCTCTTTCACTTATTCTTTTTACCTCTTTGATTCCATAATAACGTAGGAGAGAAAGGGAGGAAAAACTAATCAAAAAAGGTGATGTGCCCAGACAGATCCTGCAGTATTTTTTGAAGATGAAACTCCCATTGATACAGACAGGAATTTTGTCTGGGTAGGGAGTGAGGGCTTGGGCTTTCATGAAGGTGTATCTTGGGAGCCTGAGTGTGTTTGCTATAAAGTGCATTTGCTGAGGGCTTTGAGGTGCTTGGATTCAGGGTAGGATGGCAACACTGTATTGGAGTTACTTAGGTGGAGTTACCGTTTCCTTTATTCTGAAAGTCCTATCAATCTCCCTGTCCCCATGAAACTTTAAAGCAACCTGAAGCGTTTACAGAACAATAACTAACTATATTAAGGGACCTAAGATATTTTTTAATATCGTAAAGACACGACGTGGTTCTCAGGCTGCTGCAGTTTAAGCCTCCAGTCTGGAAACTGGATCTCTGAGATGAGCACTGACATTACCCTGCTGAAGCCAGCTGCAAGATAAAGGATGGCTTTTCGTATGCTTAGGCAAACATGTATGAAGAAATAGCTTTGTCTGAAAATATTCCAGTTATTTGGTGTTACAAAAGGGGAGGGAAAATTTCACTGAATGTCCTATTTACTTCACATTTGGAATTTTGGTTTAAAAAGAAAAAAAAGCAGTGTAGTCAGTCCAAACAGTCCTAATCAGTCAGTCCTAATCAATCTGCCTGAAGACAGGATCCTGAGAGATTTCAGTCAATTCTGAACCATTTTGAATTTCATTCTCTCAGTTAAGTGCGATAGAAACAAATAGGCCCTGTGAGACCTAGCATTATATGCCCATCAAAATCAGTAAAAACCTATTTTGTTTCACTTAAAAAAGAAGCACAGGTCAATAGACTAAGATATCTACAATTTTCAGTGCTAACAACTAGAAAGAGAAATTTCATGGGCTTTCTAACTTGCTACAAATGCCCAGTTGTGATCATTCATGCAGCAAAAAGCAGAGGCACATATTCAACAACATTTGTGATAGGAAAGACCTACTTGGTTATTGATTATTTGTGTTATATTAGTGCGCAGAGATTCCATCAGGAAATATGGCCTCCGCTCTCATGGTTACTGTGGGTGCATAACATGAGAAGAAGGCCTTACCAACTGACTTTCAAAGAATGTTGTTTCTATAATTGCTATGTGGTGACATCCTTAAGTTCTTCCTTCAAATGATTTGGTTTTCACTAACATACTGTAATGGAGGAGCACAAAAATAATCATGATCTTTATTCTAATTGTTGTAGCTTTTGCAGCTAACAAGACATCAGAGGATCCACCATCTCACACATCTATGGCATTTGCACCTCCTAGAAACATGGATGGCCCAAAGCTACAAACCAAGATGAGCACGTGGACCCCTCTGAACCATCAACTCATGAATGACAAGGCAAGTTCCATGCAACCATAGTTAGGCTGAAACCTAAATACCTTAAGCAAGAGAGGACATTACTTAAGTTACCTGATGGATTTGACCTCTGGATAGAAAGGATGCTCTTATTTATAAAGGGAGCCTTTCCTCCTGTGAATCGATCAAATTCACAGAATCACAGAATGGTTGAGATTGGAAAGGACCTCTGCTCCTTCTCTGCTCTGGAAATCACCTGGTCCAAACCCCCTGCTCAAAGCAGAGTCAGCTAGAGCAGGTTGCTCAGGATCTTGTCCAGTCAGGTTTTTGAGTATTCCCAAATCCTAAGGCAAATTCTCAGGCTCGCTTCTCAAATTCTCAAGCCCCAGAAAAAAATTTAACTTGTGGTTTTGCCTGTGTAGGTCATGAGTAATGGAGTAAGAACTTGTAGATTTTATTTACTATTAGAAGTATGTGTATATCGTATACGAATGTGTCCACACACCCACCCCTCCACAAACACATCTTTATAATATACATATATCAATATGCTATATAAAAATAAAATGTTCTATTGTATTTTATTTAAAGCACATAGGTATTTAGTTCAAGTGTTGTCTTTTTGTTTTTTTCAAATCAGTTGTTTTTAAATTGAAAAAAAAGTCTGTTCATTTTTTAGTAGAAGTTGCTAAAATCAATCTTTTTTTTGCAGCAAAAGACTTCAGTTTAACCTCAGAGCAAACTGCGTGTCAGTTTAAATTTCCAGGTGGCCGGTGTGCTCTATCTCAGCTCGTAGAAGAGAGTTTGATTCCTGGGCCAGGGCTTCTCTGCTAAGCCTGGCAGTGATGAGGCTACTTTGGTATTTTGGAAACTGAAGTGATGCACTTAATTTATAAATAACAAGATGCGTTTCCTAACCTCCCACTCTGCAAACTATATCTGGGATCTGCTAACACAGCTGACAGTTTTTGGCTCGCGTGTCATCACCGGGACCATATTTTTCTCTCAGAATTCAGTTTAAATTTCTGTTGATGATTCATAGACTTTAATTCAGAGTGGGCTGTTACATCATGTAGTCTAACTTCCTGGATTTCTCGGGCCCTCTGGTTTCACAAAGTTATCCCTGTCTGGAGCTCAGTAACTAGAATTTGGCTAGCACATGTCTTCCAGGAAGGTGTCCAGCCTTTTGGGGTTATCAAGAAATGTTAATTTCATCATTTCCCCGATAATTCTTTTCTGATGGTTAATCCCCTATACCATTAAAAGATGAGACTTGTCTCTTGTCTGAATACCTCTAGCATTAGCTTTCATCATTTAAATCTTCCTGTGCTAGCTTATTAAACTCTTTTGTAACCAGTATTTTTTTCTTTCTGGGAGTACTTTTACTCTGCATCAAGCCAACGCCTGATCTTTTTTGATAAGCTAAATAGATTGAGCCCTTTGAAGTCCTCCCAATCTCGCATATTCTCCAGCCTTTGAATCATTTTAAAGTCTCTTTCCTACACTCTCTGTAACATACTTTTCCAGAAGCACATCACTCTGTGCAATAAAGTGTCATCTCACCAGCCATGGTGAGATGAATCATGAATCTGTGGATTCATGGGTAAAACCACCCTTTCCCCCCTACTCATTTCTCTGCTCCTTGGACAGCCTAAAGTGTATTGGGCCGCAGCAAACTTTGAAGAGCTCGTGCTGAATTGTTGTGTACTCCAACCCTTAAAGACGTTCAGGTAGAAAAGAATGTACCATAATCTGCCAGACCTGTGTTCAGTGATGAAAGTCACGATAAAAAGTGTTTACTTTTTTCTGATCCAGGCTTTATGGCATGAATCCACCTGAAACTCCTTTCCATTTGTCACTAGACTGCTGTCAGTGCTAGCTCTGCAGAATTAGCAGAAAAAAAAAAGTTGCAACAAAAGCATTGTTGACAGCTGAAAATGGGAGATAATCAAATGAATATACATAGGGAGCTAGTGAGTGAGAAGGTGCCATTTTCCTACAATCATGTCTCTGTTCATTTCTGCACTCTTGAGTGAAGAGAGAAAAGAATTTGTAGGTATAAGCCTGCATGTGAAAAACAATGAGAAGATGAGAGTGTAGGGAGCAAAGAGATGCCTAAGCAAGGTACCTGTTAGTAGAACAGACAATGAGGGTCAGGAGCAGTAGGAATTCAGAGCTGATCCGAGGCAGAAGCATTTAAGCTCCATCTAAACCATTATTTGGAGCAGACCCAAAGGCAATTAGTAGAGTAAATTTGCCACCTGTCCTAATTCTAGGTAAGCCAAGGGGTACTCCGTTAGTGGTTCCTGCAGGTTTCCCTGAATTTGCAAACGTGCTCAAGAGTGCACTTGCCTGCATTGTGGGTAGGACCATCATATGGTCCTCTCCTGACCATCATATGTCCCCAGTCTTGCAGCCTCCACCTATTTTATCTGCCATACTGCAGCTGTCCGAGCAGAAATACGACCATCCAGGGTGTTATTGCTGGAACATGGGCAGCCATGCTAGTTTTAGGGCCAGGATCACTATCAGGGACAGACCAAAGTCAAGAAACCAGAATTGCAAAACCTCAAATTATGTAGGATTCATGGAGCAAAGATCAGAAAACCAATATGCCGAAGCTGTGCTACAGCTAAGGATGAAGTAAAGTTTGGAAACAGAGCAGTCCGTTCACCCTTAGCAGAACTGAGCAGACTTCGGTGTCAGTTCTGCTGAATGTGGGGCTGTGCTGCCTTTAACAAAGGATTGGATGTGGAGGGACAGTTTACCTCCTCCTCCTAGACAGCAATTTGAAAGGTCCCCAATAGCATCTGTGCCACGGGCTAGAGGGATTTGCCAAGCAGACCTGAACTTGACCTTATTTAAAACCGCCTAAAGACATGGATGTGAGATGTGAGATGGCAGGTCTCAGGAGCAACATAGGCCTTAGGCTGCATCCAAGACCAGCTACCTTAGGTCCAATGTGTACAGTATAAATTTCAAGGCCTTGGAGGAGAGGGCGGTAAACATGGGCTTGATGAAGGTAGTGGATGATTATACCAATTTTGGGTCATTCTGTTGCTAGTTAATGCTTCCAAGTGCCTGGAGTAAGCAGAACCTTCTGACAGAGTTGGCTTAGATGTATCTCCAAGAATGCCAAAAGCAAGTATGTGTCTTTCTTTGATCAAAGACCATTAACATTGCTTTCAGTTATATAAATAGCTCCCTGTTGCACTTGAATTATCTAACCCAAAACTTAGATCTTCGGCTATTCATCACTTGCTTGTGGCAAGTCCTTTCCAACCAATGCAAAGCTCGTTAGAGGGCTTTTTTAGTTTGCCAAGTGTCCCACATGCAAATAAAGCAAATAATAACAGTCAACATGCAAATAAAAGAAATGTCATTTTCCACTCCTCACAAGGGACACTCCTGCTGAGAGAGACAGAGCTAACGCTGACAACTGCTGTACCAGACATCAGCACTGATAGTGCCTTTCTCTGCAGGAACCTTCTTTGCAAACTGTCAAAGCAATATCATGTATGCAGTTCATAATGATTAACTGTGTTTTCCTAGTTGTGGTTAATAGCTGTTTTTATGTGCAGTTATAAGCTGGACTTTTTCTTCTTTGATCTTTCTTCTGGAAAAAACATCTACAGCATTTCCTCACTTCCCAGGTCACAATCCTGAGTGTAGAAGGCAGTTTTGTATTAGTGGAAAGTCACATGCTAGTGCCTTCAGGCCTAGGTCCCCATGGATAAAGGTCCACATCACAAATCCTCTGCTGCATTTTGACACTGATCATCTTTCTTGTTGGTTATCACTGCAAAGTGGCCAGGGACAGCACGAGCCACAAAAACTGAACTTACTCTCTCATTCCTAGCAATCTTGCTCCATTAAGACTCCAGGCATTGATGGGGCTGTATGATAGCTGTCCACACTGTATCCGTTCTAGGAGCTTTCAGTCACTGGATGTGCCCGACTCAGAAGAACTGAAATTTCTGAAATAAAAAGCTAAAGCTGTAAAGCCCAGCCTCTGGTATCATCAAAGCACATGAGACACAACATGTCACAGGATGGCCAGGAGAGCAAAGTGTTGGCACATCATCTGTGCAGCAGCTGCAGAGGAAGGAGGTGGACAAGAGAGGAAGCACGTTGGAGCCAGTCCTCAGAGCTTTCCTTCACAGTCATGAAAATGCAGCCCTTGAACTTTAGGGAATCTACTTCAGTGAAAGGATCTTTGCACAGGAACTAGACTGTAGAATTGAAGACGATAAGGAAGAAATAGATGAGGCCTCCTTCAGACCACTGGAGCAAGCCTCATGTCGTGGAGTTTGAATCCTTTGAGATATTGAAAATCCAGCTGGACACAGCCCTGAGCAACTTGCTGTACTTGACGTTGCTTTGAGCATGAGGTTTGGACTGGACGATATCCACAGGTGCCTTCCAACCTCAACTATTCTGTGATTCTGTGACTCTGTTTATCTTTTATAGGTTACAGAGATTGCTTCTAAAGCTGATTTTTTTCTTCGTATTGAATATCCTTTAAGTATTCAATTTGATTTTTGTGTGCATGTTTTTGTAGGTGTTTGAAGAAAGAAGAGCCCTGCTTGGAAAATGGGTAACGTTTTTTCTTCAAATATATATTTAAATACATTTAAATACATGGATTTCTGAGCTAATCAAGAGATGACTGTGATGGGAATGTAAAACATACCTTGTTTTGAAAAAAAGGGACTCATTCAACTGATATAAATGTGAAAGTAAACTGTAACTGCTCTACTTCGGAGGAAAGTAAAGAGGTAATTCCCTCTGTATCCACATTCTGTAAGTTCTGAACTTGGGAAATCATATTCCATTTTCAGAATGATTTGAAATGAGATAAGAAGCCCTATGGAAAGTCTGTGAAGTCTTCAAAGAGGATACTGGATGTTTAGGTACTGCCATTACCTGCTAGCAAGTTTTTAAAACTGGCAATAGACATATTAATCTACCAAGGGCACACGTATGGCTCCTAATACTGTAATAAGTGCACACCTCACAATCTCTTTCTGTCATTGTATTCGCAGCTCCCACGTAAGACAGGAAAATTACTTTTACCCTGTTTTGCAGATGAAAAATTGACACACAGAGAGACTTAAGATTTGCGACTTGGGATTTGTCTGTCCCAACCCAAAATGACTGCAGGTTAGGCATTCAAGACAAGGTTTCTCTGGCCTGATGTGAATCTGGGATATCTAAGCTGGGCTGGGCTGGCCATTACAGACTCCTTGTACAGTCAGCAGAGAGAAAGCAGTACTTCCAAAGGGTAATTCATCTCACTTATTGTAGGATGAAAGAATGGGTCTCTAGAGATGCCTGTTTCTTTCCATAGCCTATGAAGGGGGTTGTAGCTCACGGATTTAACGGAATATAACCTTAAGTGACCTACTCAGGAAGCTGATGACAGAGTGCACATTGGTACCCCATTTGCTCTAGTCCTAAACTCACACCTTAAATATCACCTTCCTCTTTTATGAGGCAAAATAAATGTAAAGGTGATTGCAGGAAAGCAGCTGTAATCTGCTCTGTCTCCTATGCAAACAAGAATACATACTCAGAGAGCTTATTGCGGTAAATGCACATCTTTAAAAATGGAACCAAAGAAGCAGGTACCTGGCCGCATATCATACACAAGCTAAATAGAAATGTAGAAATGATACTCCTTATCTGCGCTCTTTGATAAAGAGTATTTGCACAGTAAGTCTATTTGAACAGTGACACTTATTCTTTATGCTTAATAGCTCACTCGTGTGGAAAGCTTTTGCATGTGAGATGGTTTGTAAGGACAAGTATTTTGATTTTAAGCTCATAAGGATTATTCATGTTTATAGGAAATATGCTTTCCCTAACTTGTTCGCTTTCATGCATTTGGATAATAAGGAACTTTACGGAAACCAAGAAAACAAAATAATTGAATGATTATTGTTCAAAAAGCATTTTTTAGCGTAATAGTCAGTAACTGGCAGATCTAAAACCCAACTTGGAAATTGTTGGATGTTTTAAAATGGCAATGAGATATATGGAGGCAAAAGTGCAAACGTGTTAATTGGAATCCCTAGTGAAAAAGCTAAGATCTGGAAATGACCTCCCCCCCCCCGCCCAATTTAAGAGTGCTCCATCATTTTCTGAAAGGTTAAATGCCTGACCCTACATGTGACACTAGACACTAGACACTAGAGCTACAGCTCTCATCATGCTCCTTTAGAGTTAATTTTCCTTGTACTTGTTGAGGAGAGTACAAAAGCTGCTCTTACTGCCTTCACAGCCTGTGGCACGATGCTACGTGGTATGTGAGGCTAGAGCAGTTTGAATTTGGGAGAAGATATGTCAGGAAATCACAGAGCCCTTAGCAGAACTTTTTCCATTGATTCACATGGTCCTCTCATAGGGCTCTCGGGAAGTATGGACTAGATGAAGCTGCTGAAAGGTGGGTTTGTATGGCTGGGAACCCATATTCAGTACAGACATAAATGATTATAGGCTATAAGAGTGAAGTCTCTTCTAAATCCAGAACTGTTCAGTGTTTTAACTAATATTTGGATGATGGAATGGAAAGTATATATTCATTTGCAGATGATACCATGCTTGGAGGGATTTCATGAACTTTGGAGATTAGAAATCAAAAGGCCAAAAATCTGCCAAAAATAGGATGCAGTTTGGAAAGGACAAGTGAAAAGTGTATGTAAGAATGACCGTTACAAATACTACAAAATGAGCAAGCCCAAGTATTCAGCAGTTCTCCAGAAAAAATTGCTGGGAATTATGGTGCATTACAAACTGAGTATGAGCTGACAGTGTCTTATAATTGTATCAAAGGTAAACATCTTAAAGGGCTGTCTGAAAGGCAGAGCCATCCCCAGTTCTGGTCACTGCATTTCAAGAAAGCTGAGGACCAATTGGAGATACTTCAGAGAAGAAGTTGTAGGTGACAATGGTCTCAGGTCTAGAAAATTTGAAAGTGATCTGTTTACTCTAGGGAAGATGGAGAAGAGACATAATAACATCCTTCAAATAACACATACAAGATGTTTGAAAAGAGAAAAGGAATAATCTGATCTCCGCATTGACAAGAAATCACGGTCTTGAATTGCAGTTATGGAGATCTAATGTAGACATCAGGAAAATCTAATGGTACAGATAGCTCACTGTTGGAATAGCTTGCCTAAGGCTTAGGGGTGGAATCTCCGTCACTGGAGTCTTTGGAGAACAGGTTAGACAAATGCTTGTCAGGAAGGCTGAGGTAGAGTAGATTCTGCCTTACGGCAGGAGATGAACTAGCTCAGTGTTTCTCAACCTTTTGAAACTGAAGGACCGTTTACCCTTCTGGGAAAGCAGAACAGATTGCCTTGAGCAGCATTGCCACAATGGTTTTCCTTTACAGCCAAATAAATTTTAGATTAAACTTTGGATGTTCTTTTTCGTATTTTATTACCTCTAATTTTATTTGCATGCATTCAGGACTCTATTTTTGTTTAGTTGTTTTTTTCCAGTTATTTCACAAAACATCACTGATGTCTCTCAGGCTACTGTGGTCCATAAAACACAGGCTGAGAAACAGTGAACTAGCTGGCCTGAAGGGATTTCTTTTCCCTGTTTCTGCGCTGCTGGACAGCCCCAAGGATGTGGGACTGGCTGGCTGTCACCTGCAGTATTCAAGAGGTGTGAAGGGATGCTCTAAAATTTTGAACTTGCGTTGAACCCAGTAAGGTATTATTACTGCACAAAGAGGAAGCAGTGGCAGTGTTTAGCGCAAGCAGCCAGCCTTTCTTGTGTGGCTGGTCCCATGCATGAATATTTGCAGGCTTTCATCCTATTGTGGGCATTTGTGATGATTTTCCCTCATGCTGGCTCTTTTACCCAGATAGTACCCAGATGCATGCAAAAGGTAAATTGTGCTTCTATCTTTCAGATGAAACCCCTTTTGGTGGTTAAATTGGGAAAGTGTTAACGTTTTTCTTTCAATTTTCCTTTTTTAGTCTGTTTGCTATTCTATATTGCTCCCTGGGCAGATGCCTTCACATGCTTCCTCTCAGCTTTACTTTCTGCTGTGTTCTCAATGCTGCAAGCTAAAAACTCCTCCCATTAATTCGAAAAACATGAAAACATTTTGCTCCACCCTAATGCTCCATGCTGTCATGCTGACACCCAGATGAATAAATTGACAATGAGTCTGGGGTTGAATCTGCAAATTAAGACACCTAAGCTTAAGTTACTCCAGGTGATTTGAGTGTTTCAGCTCCCTTTATAACCAAATGAGATCAAGACAAGTCAAGGGAGCCCAAACAGTGATTCAGCTCACCCTGTGGGCTACATCTGTGCTAGTAATTTGTGCAGCATTTGCGAGCATTCGCAGATACTAGAACTTGCTCATCCACTCTGTGAAATTGTTAGCATGCTGCTCCCTGGCACAAGTTTGGCCCAGGCCACTAGCACTCTTCCAGACATTGTACGTTGTTCAGACACTACTTGGACGTTAGCCTGGGCCAGGGATCATGCCAAACATGGAGTAGAGAATACAGGCGTAGACACCTATGGCCATTTGTCCTGAGGTAGCTGAGGCATTTGTATGGAGCTGCAGATATGATGTAGGGCTTGCAGATGACTGTTACCTTGGAGTAGCAGCCATAGGTTGTGCTGGATACCCCGAGCAGCTGAACCCCATCCCTAGTCCCACAGACATCCACCTAGAGACACCTCCTCACCCAGGAGCTGACCCTATGCTAGGTGCCAAGGTGCAGAAGTGGCAGCTCCTGCTCCCAAGTGCTGCTCCATGTCACCGGGCCAAGGCGTTCCTCAGCAGTCTTCCTAGAAGTCTCTTCCAAAATTTCAGGGTTAATTGCGGACTTTGTTTAAGTACACTGATGAAAACAACAAAGAATAGATCCTAAGGGCAATTTGCAAGTTCCTGACAAAGAGCTGCTTGGCTCCAGGGCAGTTTCGGGTTTTGTTTGGTGGACTACTGTATCTTAAGGAGACTGGGTGCCTGTCTGCTTCATCCTTTCTCTTCTCATCCATGCCGTGAGCCTGGGACAAATCTGCTGTGTCAAGATTGAGAGAAAATGGCTGGGGAGGGAGAGAAGGACTGCTTCTGCCTGTATTTATCTCCTCTATCTCCTTGCAAGCCACTACATGCATTAATATGTCATAAAACAGCTTCATTGACCAGAGAATTCACTTCTACATTTACAGAGTGCAGAGATGCCTGTGTGTGATTTTAACCCTGTGAACTCATGTCAACATGCCTGTTTGGAGAGGAGGATTATGGCCTATTTCAGCAGCTACTTCAAGTCAGTAAAACAGCCTATCCCTTACAGCAGAGGGGCCTCTTTAGGTTAAGCAACAGAGCTTCTCCACTTGGGCGCTAAGGTCCTGGGCTCCCCCCTTAGTGTCAAGCAACATTATTTGTGTGTGTGCACTCATGGATTAATTGTAAACTGATCGCAGAAATACAGACGGAGCGAGCTGCATTCCCCAGTGCAACAGCCAGCACAGCCTTATGTCATCCAGTCCCTGGGGAGACATTGTTCTCCAGGGCTAGGGGAAATACAGAAAAGGAAAAATGTTGCTCGCTGTGGATAGGGAAGGTGCAGCACGTTGGAAAGGGGAATCCGGTCTGACTGGTTAGGTTGGTGTAATCGCATGCAAGGGGAGGAACTGTGGAAAAAGGCAGCCAAATGTAGGATGGGGACATGCTTGTTAATACTGGAAAAGAAACAAATTATGCCTGCTTAACTACTTGGCTGCTGCTGAATGCAGTGGAGAAGCAGCTGTGTGTTCCCATGCTGCTGGTGTGTGACACTGGTTTAAATGGAGTTTCCCTTGCAGTGGAAGCACAGGCTGAGGATATTGGGAAGAAATGCTTTGTTGCAAAATCCATGGCAGAGTGGGAAGAGTTAAACAGGAGCAAATACTCTGCTTCTTTGAAAGAGAAGATACATTTGCTTTGATCGGTGCACTTAACCTCTTAGCGTGGAAGAAAGTAAGCCAGTTACCCCTTGTCTCTAGAACCTGTATGGGAGAGAAATTTATCTTTGCAAATTGGTGGGTGCATATTGTTTCAATCAGGAGAGGATGTAGTTGTGATGGTGAATGGGAATCTGTGTAAGAGAGAAAACCTTTCACATCAAGCTGAGGCTGAGAAGAGGGTAGGCAGAGCCTCCTCTGTCCCCCCACTACATCTTTGCCTGATTTTATTTTCTCAGAGGGCATGTTGCTAAAGCCCTGAATCCAAAGGTCATGCTTCAGTTTTTACTTAGTATTCTACTAAACTCCATTAGAGATGAAATTTATATGCAAAGTAGAGATGGGAAGGAAAGGGTGTATTCCCTACCTCACTGTCTGTTTGTGTATGAAAAGACATGGACATTTGGGAGCTTTCTTCTGTTTGGCTTTTTTCATTTCAG